TTCAGAGACAGTAATATAACAGGTTAACGGTTTTTCACCAAGCCAATAAAAATCCTTTAGATCGTAGATAAGCAACACACGTGCAAAGCTAGCTTATCAATAATGCCCACATGCATGGATGGAAAGGTAGAGGGGTAGTAAAGGCTTCCCCGACAATTCCACAAATTCCGCCCCCCCCTCGATTATCTATTGCCCTGAATTCTCCACATAGAGATTCACCCGATAGTGTAAGCTTATCAAATCTTTCCTGAAAGCAAAACTGAAGAGGAAAAATTGGAAAGAGAGCATTGTTACAGTGACTATGGGGGAGAGGGGGAGTCCAAGAAACAAAGGAAACACAAAAAGAGTGAACGGGAAACACGCTGAAATGAGGGCCTTGAAGACAAATTACACTTCACAGCTTTGTCTCCCATTGGAAATCATTCCCTTTATTCAGTTTGTGGAGATCACGTGACCAGAGGCAATGATACTCTCAAGCCACAGGGACCCAGGTTCCCCCCAGAACCTGGCCAGAGGCCAACGACAGGAGGCAAACAACAAACCATGAGCTTCAGTGTCTGTCCCCCCGGAGCCCTGGGCCAGCCAGGAGGAACGGGAAACCGCACGCCTGTGAGATTAGCCACCTCCACTCTGGCAACCAGTAACCGATGTGGAAGCCAGACGGCCTCACATCCGGACCCCAGGCAGGCTGAACATCCCCTCAACTCCCCGCCTGTCACTGTCTGGGATCAGTCGTTTCACTTCTAGACCCAGCTGGATGCACAAGTTCAGTAGCATAACCCTTAAATCATCTGAGAAAGAACTGGATTTATAGGGATTTTGCGCGTAAAACAAGCAGAACTTTCGTTATTTTTGCAAAGATTTGGTATTGGTAGCTCCTGTTGTATACTTTAAAAAATAAAATAAATTCATTGCAAGAATTGACAGAAATTCCTGTTTTCCAGATTGCTAAACTGAGATATAAGAAAGTTACCAAAAGTAAAATAAAATAAGAAAAGCACCAAGATCACAAAGTTTATCAAACACAAACCCACTGTTAATCCTCCACCCCGCCCCTCCCTACCAAGCACACCCGCTGGCTTCTCGGTTCTTCGCCCAAGGCCTCCACCCACCCCTCCCCAGTGGCGAACGGTGCTGAGCGCAGGGAGTGGTGTTGAGCATTAATAGCAAAGCAGATCCCCCTCTGCCCTCAAGGAAACTCAGGCTAAAATTATCTCTAGTCCGGTTTTACACAGTGCCTTTCAATTGTCATTTTTCATTCTCTAAATACATTCAGGAGGTAAAAATCTGAATAGTACAAAGGGATAGAGTGTAAATAACTCCTCCCTCCCTCCCTCCCTCTCTTGACTTCTTGACCCCCAAGTCACTTTCATAAAAATACTGACTTAAAATAATATTTCATCATCTGCATAGGAACTATTTTTTCAGCTTCAAGAGGGAGCCCAAAGCTCTAATAATTCAGGATCTAACAAGCAAGCCCATATTCACTCTCCTCTGCGCTTCATTATTTTGTAGACCTTGAGCCTTTGTCTTTCTGGACCAAGAAGTCTTCTTCGTAACTCAGCAAATGAGAAAATCGTCGCTCCTGATGGCTCCCAGAAGGCCGCTGAGAGACCTTAAAATCCCAGCCTCAGGCAACTTAAACCTTCTGTGCTTTTAAAATCAGGTAGGTGACAGGTTTGCTAAAACAGGGCATTAGCAACCATGCAAGCAGAAACTAAGTCCCTATTGAGAGCAAATAGAGTGATCATGCTAGGAAGGCCTGGTGCCTGCCATCCTCAGTTAAACATTAGCTGCCTTCAGGCTCCGCAGGTCCTGACAGCCCAGTCATCTTCTCCCATCCTGACTCTGTTCTTTCTGTTTAACTCTGGATCCTTCATTCACACAGGCTGGTGAGCAAGAACTCGGGCTTTGAAGGCAGGCAGCCTTGCATACGAAGTTCTGGCTCTGTCAACAATTAGCTGTGGGACCTTTCACCAAGTCACTTAAGCTCCTTAAGCCTCAGTTTTCTTAATTGTAGAATAAAAATAATAAAAATGACTCTTTCAGTGGGTCATTAGGAGGGTTCAATGGTATAATTTTTGAAAAGCACTAAATACAATGCCTTTCAGCAGGACCAACTACATGACCCGTGGGACTCGATGCAAAATGGAAAGTTGGAGCCCCCTGTCCAGAAACGATTACGGATTGCAAGACGATGACCGATGACCGTAGAGCATCAGACGAAGGCCTGTGGGCTGCGCAGGTGGCAGGCTTGTGAGGCCAGCCCTCCCTTTCAGATGGTAAGTGCTCAATAGATGGTAGCTATTATCTATTTGACCGCTTTCCTAATTTACCCTGCACCTTCCCCTCCCTGCAGGCTCTTCCGTCTTTATATAATGCCCAACCCACTCAACTGGGAAAGTTTTAGGGGTTCATTCCAAACACAGGCACTGTGCCTCAGAAGTCACCCACACTTACAGAGAATAATTGACTACACTGACAGGAATCTAAAACAGAAAATGCTGTTACCGTAGGCTCATGATAGACCCGTTCCCAGCTTAGGCTTTTCATCCTGTTCAGCTAATACTCTCCCCTCCTTCAAGCCTTTGTTCAGATCCGCTTTCTCTCTGAGGCTTATTCTGATTACTCAACTCAATATCCTATTTTGCCCTTTCTCCATCTCCCTCACCTTGTTTTACTTTTACTTTTTCAATAGCACTTACATTGCCTAACATACTATTTTACTGATGTTTGTCATTTGCTTATCTTCCCCTACACACACACACACACACACACACATTAAAATGTAAGCTTCTTAAAGTCAAGAATTTTTGTCTGCTTTTATTCACTTGGGTATCACAACTGTTTAGAACAGTGTTTGGCACTTAGCAGACATTCAATAACTATTAATTAAAAGAACAAAATCAAATCTTTGAATGACTGTATAATCGAGCCATACTTTTTCTACCTGGAGGTCAGTCCATCGCACATTATGGCCAAATGGCAATAATAACCAGCTCTGCAACTGGACACCCTACAGAGTTCAAGAAACAGATGGGGAAGTTATCTATTTTCAAATCTCTGCCAAACTCCTTTTAGTTTAGAAGGAATACAATCCAGGTGTCTATGCTACTAAACCTAATACCTCTTTCAACACTAATTCATATGCGCACTTTGTTGGCAATGACTTGAGGCAATCGTCAGGGGTCTTTTATATGAGTGAAATCCCCAGGAGAGAAACGCATCCCTAGGTGGTGAACATAAAGTCACTGAAAAAAAAAACAAAAGCAGAAGAAAAATCATCACACATCACTGCTTCATTACAATGACATAGAAAAACCGAGCCCTTAATACCAAAAGGAAGGTAAGACCTCTGTTTCTGAGACAGCGGCAGGAAGATGTTAAGAGCCAGTCTGAGCCGTTCTGCCTGGGATGGATGTTAGAGTCGCAGTTAGCATCTCAACCCCTGGCCTGTGACCTCGCAAATGCAAGCCACAGAACCCAAGAAAGGAAATGTGGACACCTGTGCATACTTCATCCCACCAGTTCGAAGACAAGCCCAATGCTGTGACATTGGAGGTGCTGGATGAGACATCTTTCCATGTATTTAAGAACAAAAGAAAAGAGCCGTCCTCCCCAAATGGTTCAAGTGCAGTCCGTGTCAGGAGGAACATCTGGGGCATCCAATTATCAGAAGCTTTCTGAGGGTCAACATGCTCTAAGTTCCGCACTAAAGATAAGGAAGCACATCTGGCCCCTCCATCGAAATTCGGCCCACGCGGTCTGTGGGACAGGCTCCCTGAGCAGAGCCTGGCAGATCACGCTCCACATCTGGCTTGTACCCCAGCACGAACTACCATTCCCCCTCAGCCCTGCACTCTGCATTTTTTTAAACAAGCCATTCTCGGCCACCACAAACGCTTTGGTGGGAATCGCAGGGAGGCCCTCACCCCTTTTCCCAAAATAACGTCAGACAGAGGCAAAGGCCAAAGAGGTGGAGCCTGCAGGCCATTTTGCAAAAGTTTCAAATATCCTGGCACTGACCCCATTAAAAGAGTCATGAAGGGGAAACAGCCAAGCCTCTCGTTTTCTCATTAGTGTTGTTCTCTCCCTCCCTCTCTCTCTCTCTCATACACACACCCCTATGCATTTATTAAAAAAAAGAAACAAAGCTCTTCAGTCATTAATCAGCACTGGCTGCTGAAAATAAAATTTCATTTTGCATAGTTAATACCAAAAAAAACTGAAATTGAAAACTTTCAAAGAAATGTCTGTGCTCTGTGGCCACTTAATCCCCAAAGGGGTCTCTGAGGCATTGGACTGAAGGAGGAACTGGTGAGCTGTCCCACCTTCTCCAAAGACTTTCTGAAATACACGGCTGCCTCAGATTTTCCATACTCCTCTGCTGATCTTTCCTCTGAAGAGGGAGGAAGCAGATTTCTTGGCTGTGCAGTTAAAGGAGCCAAATAAAGCAATTTTCCTCCTCATTCGATGGGGCCTCTCTCTCTCTCTCTCTCTCTCTCACACACACACACACACACACACACACACACACACACACGAGTGTACCTGTTGCAATATTAATATGAAAGTAAAGGAAAAAGAGAATATGACAGCGAAGGAAAGAAAATGCTGCTTTATTATGTTTAGATTTTAAAAACCTTCCCACAAAAATCTAACTGAAACAGAGGCATATTATTCTCAAAATACCTTACCCTTCTCCCACTTTACAGTACTGATAGCGATAGGAAATGATATTGCAAAGGTGAAAAAGCCTTGGGGGAAAAAGTAAAAATTACCAAAGCAATACAGTGTCATAAACTATTGCTGAAAGTTAAAAAGAGCCAGCTGCGCACCTTTATTCAGATAGGAAAACCACGCCTCTCCCCCAGAACTCTTCATTCCGGGCATGCCTCTTCCCAAATACTTCCATCCCAGTTCCCTTTCCCCAGCTGTTCCTCTGATGACAGCACTCCCCCTATCAAGCCGCCCTCTCCGCCCCGTCGCCGTGTCCTCACCGTGTGATACATGAGAGCCTCGGTGTCCCCGGGCTCTGACAGCTCGCTCAGCTTGCGGTCCCACTGCAGGACGCTCTGCTCCCCGCTCTCGGGCACCTCCATGGTGGTCCGAGGCGCGATGGGCCTAGGATGCTGAGCGCAGAAGGGGAGCGTGCAGAACCGCCTCGGAGGGCGAGATCCGGCTCCGCGCGTGTGTGTGCGCGTGTGTGCGTGTAGCTTATGCACTTAGGAAGGAAAACGTTCGCTCCCCTGCCTGAGAGAGGACTGCCAAGGGCTCCCCGTCCGGTGTCCTCGGAGATCCGAAAATCCCCGGGGGAGACAGGCTGTCGAGGAATCGGGCGAAGGCTGACGGGGTTAAAGGAGGGTATGCATCCAAAAAGAAGATAGGAGAACAGCTCTCATCCCAAGAAAATGCCTTCTCGTTAAGCCCACTTTCCACTACCGTTCCAGACACAAACTTTGAGACTCCCCAGAGCGCCTCAGCTCGTCTCTAGGACCCACCTACGACTCCACCTCCCTCCAAGGAGTGGCCAATCGGATACTCACCTCGCCCACTCCAGCCAATCACAAGTCTTTCCTTCCGTCCGTCCCGCCCCCAAAGTCTGGGGTCTAGGCCCAGGCTTTGGAATGTGGGCGGGAGGTGCTTTGACGTCATCGGGAAACTCCTCCAGCCCGACCTCAGGCAGCCGCCGCTGTCTGCGGCAGCGGACCAATGGAATGCTTGAGTTCGGGAGTGACAGCCTGGTGTGGAGGCCAATGAAAATCAGGTGCCTAGGAGGGGCAGCCAATCGAATAACGACAAGAATACATTTTTTTTTTAAAGGAGGGAGGGTGAGCTCAGTGTTCTCGCGGAGACTCCGCAGAAATTAGCACGCGTCTGGAGGAAAAGGGAGTTGGTGTGCCACCAGGTTTATATGTTTTCCTAACTATTTTCCAGCACATTAACTCATTTTAGTCTTGCAGGATTTTTTAAAAATGAATTACGTATTATACAAAAATATAAAAATTCACCATTACACATGAATTCGTATTAGCACAGTTCTAGCAAATTGTCATTGCTTGTTTACATTTTTCACCCTTTCCGTTATGCATTTGCTGCTGACCTGTATTTTATGGGCTTCACTTAACTTCTACTTATTTTTGCTTTCATTCACTCAACACACTATTGACAAGAATCAATGGCTTGCTTGTCCAGGTCCTAGTGAGCTCAAAACCTTGAATTCATAGAGCTTTTATCCCAGTGGAGGAGTCAAACAATAAACAGACTTTAAATAAAGGCATAATATAATTTAGTAAAGTGGTAACTTCTATGAAGTAAAAAGAAGGTAAAAGCAACGGGCAGGTCTATGCTAGTTTAGATAGCAGTCAGGGAAGTTCTTTCTGCGAAGGTGACTCTTTGAGCAGGGCACTAAATGAAATGAGGTCCGGGGAGGAGCTGAGCTGGTGTTCCGCTGACGGACTGGGAGGCCAGTGTGAGGGCACCATGCTGTGCTGGGCAGTGAGTGAGGGAGAGGCGGCTTGAGAGACAGGCTGGAGCCAGACCACCAGGCCTGCCGAGATTAGGAAAGAGCCTATTCAAAGTATTTCCTCCAAGGATGTGATTTTTTTCTTCCTCCTTTTACACTCCCCCTTTTAAGAAAACAAAGTCATTTGAAATATAAAGGAGCCTTTGCCAATCGCCTCTAGAAGTTCCTTACAATGGCACATTGAAGCATTAGGTATTACTTGGTCTCCTTCGCAAGTATTTTTTGGGTAGTTGTGGTCAGTCAAATCTATCAGAACTCTGTTGTTTTCAAGCAGCAGTTTATTATGGAAACTATTTCATTTGTCTGGTCCTAGCTCCTCGGTCTTTGATGCTTAAGGGAAAATTCTACTTTATCCTCATGCACCTTCCTTGTACAGTATTTTTCTCTGTCTTTGTAGCATACCACTCAACACAAGCTAGTGAGGAAAGAAACATGTATACCCTCCTTAATATTGGAATACAAACATGTATCTGCCTAACACATCTGCTTTTGAAAGTCAGCCCCTGGTTATGCCCCATGTGATCAGCAGCTTCTAAGGTGGCACCAATGACCCTCCCTCCGGGTGTTCATGCCCTGTGCAACGCCTTGAGTGTGGGCTGGATCCTTGGCTTCCCCCTAACCAACGGAATATGGCAAAAGTGATCGGCTGTCAAAAGTGATTCTGCCTCCTATTACTGGGCTGAAGGGGTCCATTTGCTTGCACGCATTAAAGCTCAATAAGACACGAACAAGAGTTTGCAGCCAAGAAAGTAGGGATTTATTAAGGAGATGATGCCATGCCTGGAGTCACAGGTAGCTCATGTTAAAGACCTGGCTCCCAGATGGCTTCCAGGGGGTGGGGTCTACAGGGGAAAATCATTAATCAGGATGACTAAGGAAGTTAGGATCATGGCGGGGGCGGGGTCTCTTCTGATTGGTCAGCACCACCGTAGGGGTTAGGGAGTTGATCCTAACATCTGGTCCTGACATCAACCACGGCATGGCTTCGTCTGCATTCTCAAGGATGTGGTTGGTGGGGTCATTCTGGAGCTGAAACACAACTGAGGCCTAGATGTTATCTCTAATTTGACTAAAACTCTTTCTCTTTGGTCAACAGACCTGAGGCTTTGTTTCTAAGACCACTGGATGCTGGCCAGAACCTCATTGTCCTGGGGGCTTAATGCTTAAGTAAGGGAGAGAGCCAGGGGGTTGAGTCAGGCACTAGAAAAGGGCAACTTGAGTCAAAGGAAAACAAATCAAAATAAAAGAGCAGATTAAAGAAAATAAGGTTTCTACATGGTCATACTCCTGACTTTCTTGTTCTGTAGTCCTCGCTTGCATGCTTGCTTGCTTGCTTGCTTGCTCGCTCTGAGGGAAGCAGGCTGCCAAGCTGTGAGCCATCCTATAGAGAGGCCACATAGCAAGGAACTAGGGAAGGTGTCCAGCCAACAGCCAGCAAGGAACTGAAGTCCTCAGTCAGACAACCCAGCAGCACCTGCTTCCGGCTAATAAACATGAGTGGATATGTGAGCAGATCCTCCTCAGTGGAGCCTTAAGATCACTGCAGCCTTGTGAGACGCCTCACCCAGATTCCTGACCCACAAAAGCTAAAGGAAATAAATGGATGTTGTTGTAGGCCACCAAGTCTTCCCTTCATAAAGTAATATAATAATTGGTACTCTAAATGTTTAATTAAACTTTTATGTACCTTAATAATGTCACAATCTCTGACAGTGAGTTTTTCAGCCTCTCGTTTCATATATGCTTCTCCCATTCACCACATGCAAGACTTCTCTCCCTAGGCCATTTCCTGTTCCATGCCTTGAACAAGAGCTTGTCCCTCTCGTTTTCAGGACTTAGCCGTTTAACTAACTCTTCTTCCAGCTTCTCTGGCATCCTTTAAAAAAAGCAGCAGCCCCTGCTCCCCCGTCTGCTCTTTTCTTTTTTGAGATATAATCGGCCTATAACATATTAGTTGCAGGTATACGACAGAATGATTTGATGTTTGTATATATTGTGAAATGATCACAATGTCTTGTTATAGTCACCAGGCTGTACATGACACCCTCCAGGACTTACTCATTTTATAACTGAAAGTTTCTACCTTTTGATCCCTTTCACCCGTTTTTCCCACCCCTCACTTGCTGCCTCTCTCTGGTAGCCACCAATCTGTTCTCCATGTCTGTGTCCAGATGTTTTGTGTGTGTGTTTCTGTTTTTGTTTTTATACCCCACTTAAGAGTGAGGTCTTACAGCATTTGTCCTTCCTCTGTCTGACTTATTTCACTTACCATAATGCCCTCAGAATCCATCTATGTCATTGCAAAGGGCAGGATTTCCTTCTTTGTGATGACTGGATAATATTCCGCCGTGTGTATATATCACATTTTCTGTATCCATTCGTCCATCCACGGACATCTGTGTTGCTTCCACGTCTATGATAAATAATGCTTCACTGAACAAGGGGGTAGAGAGATCTTTTCAAGTTAGTATCTTCAGTCCCTTTGGACTAATGCCCACATGTGGGACAGCTGGCTCTCAGGGCTGCGCCAGGCGCTGTCCTGCGATAGCGCCATGTTGCCACCCACATCTGTGCTTCATTAAGACCGCAACCCGTCCTCTCCGGAGACTCTGCCGGGGTCTGACCGGCAGCCCTCCATGGGCCACATTTAAGCTTTTGCTGTCCTTTGTGAACTGCAGCTCTCACAGACTGCACCACATCCTCATCCCCACGGGAGCCCCAACAGGAAGGGACAGGCTCCCTCCTGCAAACAGCCACTGCACAGGACTTAGCATCCCTGTCATTACTTCTCAAGGTGTATGCCTTGCCCTTCCACTCTTCTTGTACACGAGGTCTGTCCAGGAAAAGTCCAACCACTGTCAATATGGGAACGGTCTGTGTGACATCAATGTAACCTGGCAGCCAAGGAGAGTGGACTAGAATGCGCATGTGTGAACAGTGATGACGTCACTGCGCTAGTCAGTAGGGGCAGCAGATGCCATTGCGTGAGCATGTGTCCTGTGTGGCTGTCACATTCAAGATGACTGAGCAGGTAGAGCAATGAATCTGCATCAAAGTTTGTGTTAAGCTTGAACATTCCTCCGTGAAAACTATTCAGATGATCCGCAGCTATGGGCAACTGGTGATTGAGAGCTTCATCATAACAATGCACCCTCTCATGCATCACCCGTGATGCCATGTGACTTCTGGCTTTTCCCAAAGCTAAAATCACCTTGGAAAGGGAAGATATTTCAGACCATGGATGAAATTCAGGAAAATAGGACAGGGCAGCTAATGATGATTAGGAGAGCTGTGTGAGGTCCCAAGGTGCCTACTTTGAAGGGGACTGAGGCATCATTGTCATATATCCAATGTTTCTTGCATCTTGTATTTTCTTCAATAAATGTCTCTGTTTTTCATAGTACATGGATGGTTACTTTCTGGACAGACCTTGTTGTATGTCCATTCAAGAGCTCGACTCTATGCTCCTCCCACAAACATGGAGTTCTCCGAGAACAGCCCCCACCCTCCAACTTCTGTGATTATATGATCAGGTTTGTATTTTTGAGAACTTCTCATTCCTCTTGAGCAGTTTTGCCTTTTATTCTATCAAACGGTGCAGTCTCACCTATCTCCTCTCCGAACGTTTGTTTTAGAGTATTCTGAATACTTACCTATTTTGTTCTATAACAATTCCTAATATCCCTCAAGAGTTTCATTTCTATTTCGGCACGTTCTGCCCCTTAATTCTACTTTGGAATGGGAGCACACTTGTGCTACTCTTTTCAATCATCCTGCTCTGACTGACTTCAATATCATAAAGCAACTTTCCCACTTGGAGGACTTTTTTTCAATTATCATTGCTTAACCTGAAATAGTGTTTTTATATTTTACATTAGTCTTCTTTGCCTGTAGAACAGTAGAACAGAATGGAGAGAAGATGTCTGGGAGAATCCACAGTCTCTTCCTGGGAAATC